GTGGCGAGCCACTGAATCAAGTATTATTCTCGCTGCGCTCCTTGAGCGTCCACCACCATGAGCTTTTCTGCCCCTTCGAAGAACTCTGCTAGTATGAGCGTGACGATCAGCCCCTCGGCCACTGCCAGCTTCGGTGGCCTCCCGCTCAGGTCGACATCAACCTCGGCGGCACCTCCCGCCCACTCCCGCGCGTCTCAGCAGGCCTCGTGTCGCCTGCGCCGCGCAGGACACAGTCGAGTTCGCCATTCGGTCATGGCTCGCATTGACCGTCATGATATCCCCCAGCGTCGGATAAGTCGCGTGCATTTTTGCTTGGTCCACGTATGTATTCGGGCGGCGCGCGTCCTCAGTACGGGCGCCCAGACACCCACGGAGAAACCAAGCGCAGTCAATCCATTTCGCACAGGTGGTCTCGGTCGATGTCGTGGCGCACTTCAACGTACAGTTTCGTTCAATCCGCTAGAAGTGCATCGAGCTCTCCGGTCGCTCTACCCAAACCAGCACCTCCAAGCTGCGCTTTCTTCCCCACACTTTCTATCCAAGACGGACAGATGCTACGCCACCTCCCATGCCCGACTTCTCGGACTCCCTTGAATCAGTTGGATGCTATTCACAGTAACCCATGGGCTATCTCCCGTGCCCTCCGAATGCCGTCAGCTGCGCCTTATCGTGACCAGGCCTGTGAGCCGCGATAAGACGGGCCGCGTCCAGTTGAAGGGCGCCACGGTATATAATGGGTTACAAGGGTGACGTCGCGCTCTCTTTGAGCCTCGCGAAGTGCTGGATCTACCAACTATGGCTACTGAGGCGAACTCGGTCCCGCATCCCACCGTCATCTCGGTACGTCCTTGACCTTTCCATTGGGCGATGAACTGACGGGCGTTTCAAGGTTGACCCGTTCATGTGAGCCTCCGATGCGTACGCGCTAGGATGTTGTGGCTGAAGTCTTGTCTTCGAAAGACCGGCAGAGAAGCAGAAGGCGCGTTTCGTCCTAGTTCCCGTCCAGCCCAAACCTGACCTCATCGTGTACAGGGCCTACACAACCGCTGGCAGTAAGCCGCAACACTCCTCCCTCCACCTCTTCATCCCCCTCACTACACCCCACGTAGCCCCGATATCCCTCCCTTTGCAACCGTCAAACCCGGTCAAGTCTTCAGTGTCGAATGTGTCGACTGGACAGGCGCACAGATCGGGAACAACGACAACAGCGACGACATCAAGAACGTCGATCTAACCAAGATCCACAACCTCTCCGGCCCGATCGCTGTCGAAGGCGCTCAGCCCGGCGACTGTCTAGTCGTCGACATTCTCGACGGTACGTATACTCCATTGCATACGTGAATCGACCGTAGAGGCTGATGGCGGGGTAGTGCGCCCGTTCGATAAGATGCCGTGGGGATACACCGGCATCTTCGAGCTCGAGAACGGCGGCGGGCTCTTCGCGAAGGAGTTCAACTCCCGCGCGGCAAAGGCCATATGGGACTTTGAAGGTGTATACGCGACATCGCGACACATCCCGGGCGTACGCTTCGCCGGCGTATCGCACCCGGGTTTGATTGGGACGGCGCCGTCTGCGGAGTTGTTGGCGACGTGGAATAAGAGAGAGGGAGAGCTCATCGCGAAGAATGAGGGGAGGGTGCCGGCTGTGGCGTTCCCGCCTGAGCCGATAGGCGCGTATGTGGGACAGGATCTGCCGGAGGAGGTTAGAGAGAAGATTGCGAGGGAGGGCGCGAGGACTGTTCCGGGTAGAGAGCATGGTGGGAACTGCGATGTATGTTGTTCTGTTGTGAGGATGTGGGAGTGGTGCTGATGGAGTGTGTCAGATCAAGAACTTGTCGCGCGGTTCGAGGTGCTACTTCCCCGTCTTCGTTGAGGGCGCGAACCTCTCCGTCGGAGATCTGCACTTCTCGCAAGGAGACGGCGAGATGTCGTTCTGCGGTGCCATCGAGATGGTTCGCCCGTCCCTTCCCCTTATACGCTCCCATGTTCTGACAGAGACGGCGCAGGCGGGTATTATCCAGTTCAAGACGAGCATCATTAAGAACGGCGTAGAGAAGTTCGGGCTGAGACAGCCGATCTTCCTTCCGTCTCCCATCGACCCGGTGTACTCGCAGAAGCTCGTGTTCGAGGGGCTTTCTGTTGATCTGCATGGGGATGGGAAGCAGTATGATATGGATGCGACGGTTGCGTATAAGCAGGCTGCGTTGAACTGCATCGATTATCTGATGAAGGTATGTTCTGCGTTATGCCTGAACTTGTGGTGCTTGATGCTGACTTGCCTTATAGCTTGGATACAGTACGTTCATGGGCTCTTTATGGAGTGTATCTTGACTGACTGACATGCGCAACTAGCTCGCGAGCAAGCGTGTATGTCGTCCTGTTCTTGGTTGGTCCATACCTGTGCTCATGCATGTCGCAACCAGATCTTCTACTCTCCGCCGCTCCAGTCGACAGCCACGTCGGCGCCGTCGTCGACTCTCCGAACGCATGCGTCACGTTGGCGCTCCCTGTCGGAATCTTTGACTTCGTATGTGGTCATTTTGTCTTGCTGAGGGCGCTACTCACGCGATACGCTAGGATATCCTCCCTCGTGACGAGGGTTTAGTTAAGCATGACCTTGGTCAGGCTGCTATTAGGTCGGATGGGGTACTATAGGATGTTTGGCCACCGTAGAGAGCAAATGTTGTACGATACCTGCCAAGTGACGAGTACAGAACCAACTGGGTCAATGTTATCGCTATCTCGCATCCAAAGATTGGAATTCGCGCGGTGGTGGAGTTTTCGGAACGACTGTGTTGCCGTCTACCAAAGTGTTGCTTGCAGAAGCGCGCCGGCTACCCTGCAGATCCTTTGAGTGTTGATACGTCTCCGACCGATATCTCTGTACGTAGGATAGCACAGGGGTAGCATACGCTCTCCATAGAGTAACCGAGCTCGGCTTCGCGCGCGAGTCAACCCCAGAATAGGGGGCAACCGAGCGCCCGGACCGGGTTGCCGAAGTGACAACCCGACGCAGCTTGGTCTGCAACATGCGCGACCGACGATCTCGAGTAAACCATGGCTTCCAGTATGTGCCCCGTACAACGCGTAACTCTATAAGAGGGACTGAAGCATTCCTCTAGTCGCGGCAAACAAACGACTGAAACCAAAGATTGTGCGTGACGACCTCTGTACGAGTTGTGGCGTGGAGTGCTAACGGCGCGACCGTTGACAGAAACCACCGCGCAAGGTATTATCCGACGCGTTCTACGCGATGAATATAGTCTGATATATTACTGTAGCATGGAACGAACATCTCTGTGGACGAGACATGGTCGAAGCTCACGCACAACATCCGGGAGATCCAATACCACCGCGCACACACGCTATCGTTCGAAGAGAACTACCGGTTCGCGTACCAGATGGTGATCATGAAGAACGGCAAACAGTTATACGAGGGGACTGTCGATCTCGTGGTGGAGAACCTGGACAGGCTCGTTAAGGAGATCCTGCAGCCGAACTTCCCGACGAGCCTTGACCAGGACCCGATGCAGCGTGCGCATGACGATGCCAGGCTGTTGAGCGCGCTGAGCGAGGTGTGGGCGGATCATAAGGGGAGCATGGACAAGATTGGGAGTATATTGAAGTACATGGTGCGTTATCGTCACGTTATGATATTCGGCAGTGCCACTCAATGCTAGTACGGCAGGACCGAGTATGGACAAAGGACGCGCACCTGCCCGAGATCGTCGAAAAGGGCCGCGAGCTCTTCCTCAAGCACATCATACGCCCGCCAATACAGGGTCACGTGCAGTCTGCGGTACTGGGCCTGTTGCGGATCGAGCGCGACGGATACGTGATCAATCGCTCGTCCGTGACGGGCTGCGTGGACGTCCTGCTCCAGCTCAACGACCCGAGCGGTCTCACGGTGTATAAGCGCGACTTGGAACCGGTCGTGTTGAGTGAGAGTCAGGCGTATTATAAGGCGGAAGGCGAGAGGTTGTTGGAGACGTGCGATGCGCCGGAGTACTTGCGAAGAGTACGTATGGTTTTACTCGCATGAGACAGCGTACTGACTGGTGTATAGGTAGAGGCGCGCTTTACAGAAGAGGACTCGCGAGCGCATCAATGTCTCTCCGTACAGACAGCGAAGCCTCTCGAACATATTTTGCAAGAGACCCTCCTCACTCCACATCTCATGAACGTCCTCCGAAAGGAGAACTCTGGTCTGGACGCCATGATCGACAAAGACAGCGTCAACGATCTATCGCGTCTATACAGCCTCTACTCGGAGGTACCAGAGGGAGTGCCGGCCCTTCGACGCGCCATCAAGGACTCGATTGTGCGCCGCGGCACCGCCCTGAACACGGTTACGAACGGAGAGGGAGAGTCGGTTGGGGTGGATGAGGAGGCTGAGGCGGTGCAAGGGAAGGGCAAAGGGAAGGCGAGGGCGGGTGGAGGTGGAGGCGCGCAGAGTTTGGCGCTGGCGTTGAAGTGGGTGGAGGATGTGCTCGCGCTCAAGGACAAGTTCGACAATGTCCTTATCTCGAGCTTCCGGAGGAACCGAGATCTCGAGAGTGGCATGAACGAGGTACGTGCTGTTCGTGTATGGTCTCGAGTGGCCCGTGTTAACCATGATCCGCGTAGGCATTCGAAACGTTCATCAACCAACAACCCCGCGCCCCCGAATTCACCTCCCTCTTCATCGATGAGAACCTCAAGAAAGGCCTCAAAGGCAAAACGGACGAAGAAGTCGAAGAGGTCCTCGGCAAGACGATCACCGTGTTCCGGTATCTCACCAAGAAGGACGAGTTCGAGCTGTACTATAAGAACCACCTCGCTAAACGGCTATTGAACAACAGGAGTGTCAGCGACGACGCGGAGAGGGGCATGCTGGCCAAGTTGAAGGTCGAGTGCGGGTATCAGTTCACGCAGAAGTTGGAGGGGATGTTCCATGATATGAGGATCAGCGCGGATACGATGGAGGCGTATAAGGGACATGTCAGGAAACTCGAGACTGTAAGTCCCTCACCGGCGTCTACCTGCTCGGGCTGTGGCTGATGTTTGATCGCATATAGGCGCCCGAAGTCGATATGGCCGTGACAGTCATGACCGCAACACTCTGGCCCATGTCAACGATCCCCATGCCCTGCACACTCCCACCCGTCCTCATCCGCTCCTCACATGTCTTCGAACAATTCTATCTCGGCCGACATAACGGTCGTCGCCTAACGTGGTTGCCCTCCCTCGGAACGGCCGACGTGCGCGTACGGTTCAACGCGCGGAGTCACGAGCTGAACGTGTCGACGTTCGCGCTTTGCGTGTTAATGTTGTTCGAGGATGTGGAGGAGGGAGGCTTTTTGACGTATGAGGAGATCAAGGAGTCAACGGGCATACCCGAGGCGGAGTTGATGCGCAACCTCCAGTCGCTCGCCTGTGCCAAATTCAAAGTCCTCAAAAAGCACCCCCCCGGCCGCGACGTCAAAACGGACGACTCGTTCTCCTTCAACGAGTCCTTCTCGGCTCCGCTGCAGAAGATCAAGATCAGCACGGTGGCGGCGAGAGTGGAGAGCGGGGTGGAGAGAAGGGAGACGCAGGATCGGATCGAGGAGGAGAGGAAGCACCAGACTGAGGCGGCGATCGTCAGGATTATGAAGGATCGGAAGACGATGGCGCATAATGCGCTTGTTAATGAGGTTACGAGGCAGTTGGCGAGTCGGTTCCAGCCGAATCCGGTGCAGATTAAGAAGAGGATTGAGGGGTTGATTGAGGTGCGTGGTCTGAGCTTTTTGAGGACGTGAGGGTGTGGGGCTGACTTTGTGGGTGTAGAGGGAGTATTTGGAGAGGTGTGCGGATAGGAAGTCGTATAATTACTTGGTGAGTACGCCTCCGTCTTTCTCTAAAGCTTGTACTGACGCTTCATAGGCATGATTTCGTTCTGAACATGGATTATCCGTATCTTTATTGCATTTTCTTTGTGAACCGAACCTTTACCGCCTCTTGGTTCGAAACTAGGATTAGGGTCCCCAAATGTACGTCTTCAAGAATTTTTTCCTTCTTCACTTCCCTTCTTCACTATTTGTGCCCGTACCGCAATCTTGAGGGCCGACTGATGTATTGCGGTTATCCGAGGTTACCGAGGCTTATCCATGCCTTATCGAGAGAATTTGCGAAAAGTGCGTTTTACATGTCCTTCTACCGTGCGACCCGCTCCTACTAATGGTCCTGTCTATCTATTGTCCATCAGGCATCTGTCTCCGCCGTGTGCTGCTTGGTCGAATACTGCGGCATACGAAGACGCGAGGACGTCGGCTCATCACACTGAAGATCCGACTCGGGCGTTGACAAACCGGCCTTGCCGGCCTCCTGGGATATCGATCTGCATGCCCTTACTCAATTGACTGTAAGATCTGTTTATAAGGCTCTCGATGGCATGTATCCAGTATTACTGATGCGCTTGACAGCTTGCCTGCGGCCGTATGGACTGGCCCGACTCGGATGGTCTGAATCAGCGCTGCCATAAAACTCTGGATTACATGCAGAGTGCGTTGAGATTGCATGGACCGGTGCACCGCTATAAGAGCGGCGGGGCGCGGCCCGTTACAGTATCCCCATGCGCTCAAATTTCCCGCGCGCTCCCCGAGTCTATCCTCCGGCAATGTCTTCCTCCGACTCAAAGCTCTTCGCGCCGTTTAAACTCGGTCATCTCGCACTTCAGCACAGAATCGCTCTTGCGCCTCTTACGCGCTGCCGTGCGAATGACATGCACGAGCACACTGATCTTGCCGTCGAGTACTACGGGCAGCGCGCTAGTACGCCTGGTACGCTCATGATCACGGAAGGAACTTTCATCTCTTCTCGCGCCGGCGGGTATCCCAATGTCCCCGGTATATGGAGCGAAGCGCAGATTGCCGCATGGAACAAGGTACGCGCTCTTGTGGTGTCAGTGCGTCATTACAAGTCTGATTCGGGATGCGTAGGTCACGGATGCGGTCCATGCGAAGGGCTCGTTCATCGTACTTCAGCTTTGGGCACTGGGTCGCGCTGCGATGCCCGATGTTCTCAAGGCCGAGGGACAGGACTATGTCGGCCCGAGCGCGATCCCTATGAACGAGGGTTGGCCCGTACCTCGCCCACTCACGGTTGAGGAGATCAGGGAGTATGTTAAGGACTACGCCACGGCTGCGGATAACGCTGTGAATAAGGCTGGCTTCGACGGTGTCGAGGTCTGTCTCTCTATTCAATCTCGGCCTGTGATGACCGCGACCGTACTGATACAATGTCTCTGATCTGTAGATCCACGGGGCGAATGGGTATCTCATTGATCAGTTCACGCAGAGTGCTTCGAACAACCGTACGGACGAGTACGGTGGCAGTGTTGAGAATCGGCTGCGGTTCGTCAAGGAGGTTGTTGAGGCTGTCACTGCAGCTGTTGGACAGGAGCGCACGGGCATCAGGTTCTCGCCCTGGTCGAAGTTCAACTGTGCGTCAAGCGATCATGTCTGCCGCGCCCGCAATCAGTTTATTAACTTGGGACTAGCCATGCGCTCGGAGAACCCCGTCCCGACCTTCTCAGCATTGATCACCCATCTGCGCGATACCTATGGCAAGTTGGCCTACATCCACGTCATCGAACCGCGCATCGGTGGCGACAACGACGAGTCTGACTCGGCTCAAGAGCGCGAGTCTAATGCCTTCGCGCACGAGATCTGGGGAGATCGCCCGATTCTTGTTGCGGGTGGGTATACACGCGAAACGGCGTTGAAGGCTACAGAGAAGGATAATGTGATTGTCACGTTTGGACGCAACTTCCTTGCAAACGTACGTTATAGCGTCTACTCCGTCTGATCAAGATACTGACGGGATGGTTTGCAGCCTGATCTCCCGGCGCGTCTGAAGGACAACCTGAAGCTCAACGCGTATAATCGCGCAACATTCTATACACCCGGCCCAGTCGGCTACGTCGACTATCCAACCTCCGAGGGCAAGACGTCGTAGAACTAGAGCCGAGAGGATGAAGACTGATTTCGAGCTTGTTACTGTTGTTGTATCTTTATCTATGCAATCTCTTCGGTTCTGAATGTGGAGCACTGTGCCCCGACCACGTGCGATATCGCAGTCTCGTCCAATCGAAGTTTGAGATCGGATGCTGCGTCGTCTTTCCAGATCCGGCCTCGTCGGCATCCTGGGACAAAAGGCGCGTCATTACTCAAATCAACAGACAGTATGTTCATGTCCGCTCTCGTCGGTCTGCTTCCAATGATACTGAAGCGCTTTAAAGGTCTTCTAGAGCTGCTTGGCATAGGCCGAGCCGGTGCATGGTACTCTGAATCAGCGCTGCAAGTGCCTGCCCACGGCGTCCAGCATCGAATAGTCTCAGGACTGCTGCAGCACTATAAGGGAGGCGTATCTCTCTCAACATCCCCAGCGTCTCTTCCCCACGCTTACTCAGTCTACTCGGCATGCCCTCCTCCAAGCTCTTCGAGCTCTACCACCTCGGTTCGCTCAAACTCCAGCAGAGAATTGCTCTTGCGCCGTTGACGCGCTATCGTGCCAATGATCAACATGTGCACACCGATCTCGCGGTCGAGTACTATACGCAGCGTGCCAGTATGCCTGGTACGCTCATGATCACGGAGGCGACTTTCATCTCTCCTCGTGCGGGCGGATACGCCAATGCTCCGGGTATCTGGAGCGATTCGCAGATTGCTGCATGGAAGAAGGTATGCGCTCTTGGTGGCACACTCTTGGTTCGTGTCGTGTCTCATCATAGATACATAGATCACAGACGCTGTACATGCGAAGGGCTCGTTTATCATACTCCAGCTCTGGGCACTGGGCCGCGCTGCAACGCCTGATGTTATCAAGGCTGAAGGACAAGACTACGTCGGCGCAAGCGCAATCCCTCTGACGGATGATATGCCCGTGCCGCGCCCGCTGACGGTTGAAGAGATCAAGGAGTACGTGAAAGAGTTCGCTACGGCCGCGGATAACGCCGTGAACAAGGCTGGCTTCGATGGTGTTGAGGTCAGTGTATCTCATTTGAACACAAGCGCACGCCGCATCGAGAAGGCTGACGGTCCCGCAGATACATGCTGCACACGGGTATCTGTTGGATCAGTTCATGCAGAGCGTTTCGAATGACCGTACGGATGAGTACGGCGGTAGTATCGAGAACCGGCTTCGATTCACTAAGGAGGTTGTTGAGGCTGTTACTGGGGCTGTGGGCCAGGAACGGACTGCCATTAGGTGAGTACTGAGCTTATCGTCGAGCTCGATGAAAGACTGACTGGCGTTGCAGGTTCTCGCCATGGTCCAAGTACCTATGTACGTTACACCAGTATTCTCCACCACCATCGTGTCTCTGACTTGAGACCAGCCATGCGCATGACGGACCCCGTCCCGACCTTCTCGGCAATGATCACCCACCTGCGCGATACCTACCCCAAGCTATTCTACCTCCACATCGTCGAACCGCGCATGAAAGGCGACAGCGCCGCTCACGAGGACGACTGGGCTCAAGAGCAGGAGTCCAACGCTTTCGCATACGAGATCTGGGGAGACCGTCCGATGGTCGTGGCTGGTGGGCATACACGCGAGACGGCGTTGAAGGCGACGGAGAAGGATAATGTGATCGTCGCTTTTGGGCGACTCTTCCTGGCGAACGTACGTCTGAGGATCCCTCCGAGTCTCCGGTAATGATACTGACGAGACGTTTGTAGCCTGACCTCCCGGCGCGGTTGAAGGACGATCTGAAGCTCAACGCGTACAATCGTGATACATTCTACACGCCGGGTCCTGTCGGCTACGTCGACTATCCCACCCACTCCCCGGCGTTGTAGGCTCTAAATCAGCCAGATCGATGAACGCGCGACGCATGTACAATTGATAATGACACTACCTCCAGGGGCTGAGAACAAGATACATGTAAACTACTATGTTGGGAATGGATGTACGTGAGGGGAATAGGTGTAGAGCAAAGCAATGTTGCAATGGACGAAACACGGAGCGAGCAGTAAAGAACGTAGTACAAATGCGTGGTGATATACATCTACATGACAAGATTCACAATAGGCCGAGATCAAGCAACGGACAAGTTCGGAATGACCGGTCAAATGTTTCAACAGGTGTTATGAACCCTGCCTCGAAGACCTGACAAACTCCGAGAAATACTTCCTGAAAGCCTTGTTATCCAACTCGCCCATCTTCGCCGTAAACTCCCTAGCAGTCTCCGCCGGCCACCCTTGAGCCGGCAAGAACGCGTTCACGAAGAACTCGTACGCCTCCTGTTTGCGCGCCTTCAACGCGGCCTGAAGCGTACTGGCGATCTCCTGCAACAGAACGAGCACTTGTCCGTCTTTGACGTTCAGCTCGGGCGCGCTGAGAACGCGGAAGGATAGAGGGATGACGGAGTCGTAGACGAAACGTTCGTAGCCGGGGACGGATGTTGATGGCGTAGAAGTGGTATCTCCATTCGTTGTTGGCGAGTCGGATAGAGAGGCCCACTGGGTCACGCTCTTGTTGAGGAAGGTGAAGGCGAGCTTTTGGCTGACGGGGTCGGAGAGGTCGCCGCCGAGCTCGAGGATGGATTGGAGGACCTGCTCGAAGCGGGCTTTGTTGCCTGAGATGTGCAATGTCAGCTTACGCCCAAGTCACAGCGTAGGTGATACGGAGACTTACGGTCCGAGAGGTATACGCCTTGCAGTTTGGACGACATGACGTTGGTGAGGAAGGTGAGGTATGCGCGTTTCGTCTCGCCTCGTGCGAGAGCGTCGTCCGTGCCAGAGACAGGCTGGGACATGATCCCGGCGATATGCACAGTAAGCGGAGTGAACAGCTCGTCCAGCACATCGAACATGTCGCCCTGTCAAATCCATCAGCACTCGGCCACAAAAACAAGAACAAAAAGTAATACGCACCTGAAGCCGATGGATAAGGAGATTCAAGAAGTTCATAAAGTCGACCAGCTCGCTCGGCTCGAACTCCGTAAGGAGATTGACCATGAGCGGGGGAATCAGGTCCGTGATCTGCGTCCCCGTAGTCGCGATGATCCGCGCAAAAGCGAACCTCGAAGCGTCCCTCACGACTTTGAACACCTTCATCGCTTCCAAACTAACCAAGATCGCCTGCGCAATGTCGCGGAAGATGCCGAGGCACTGGAAGACGTAGCCTTCGGGTATCGGGTTGGGAAAGTCGGGGAAGCCGCGCGCGATGTTGCCGAGGGCCATGACGACGTGGTGGATACGGAGTAGAGGGAGCACGTCTTGCATCCCCCCTACGCCTTTCACAGAGCGCAGATCCGACTGAAGCAGATCCAGTAATGGACGGACAAACGACAAGAGAACCTCAGGCTGCTCCGGCGTTTTCCAGAGCATGGACACGAGGATGCCGACGGACTCGAAGAGGTATAGTTGGGGGTCTTGTGCGGAGGCTGCTTCGGCGAGGAGGGCGAGGGGCGAGGGTTCCTCGTTCGGTTCGGGCTCGGGGAGGTCGATTTGGATGGAGAGGACGTCGCGCATGCTGTTGAGCAGGGTGGGGACGAGTTCGATGGGGATCTCGCCGCGGCAGGTCGTGAGGAACTTGTAGAAGAGGTAGAAGACGCGGGAGCGGACGGCTTTGTTCTGGTTGTGCAGACCTCTGCCGGTACATGAGCATCAATGAAACACGTTATGGGGAGTTGACGTACCGTGCGTCGACCATGGCTTCCAAGGCCGGAACGATGCAGTTCTTGCGAACCTTGAAGAAGTCGGTGTAGCGCGCGAAGGACTCGAAGACCTGCATCGCGACGGCCTGATGCGGGTATGCGGAGATACGAGACTCGATCAACGCGGAGACGAGTTCTCCTTGTAATGTCAGAGGGAAGGCGGTATAGTCGACGATCTTGCGTTGCTCTTTTGCGACGGCGGGTGCCTGGACGAATGCGGCGCGGCCTTTGGCGCCGGCTGTTGATGTCACGTGAGTACGAAGGATGATTGGAAGGAGAGTGTTGGAGACGTACACTTGTTGATCTCACCGTAGATGTAGATGAGGTAGCAGGCTAGCTCAGCGTCGTTCCACTTGACGTTCTGGCCGTTGCTGTATGCTGACAATGTTTCCAGAGCCTGCGTTCGCACAACTTGGGCCACCATATCTGGGTCCAGCGCCAAAGCAGAGTCCATGAACGATCGCAGGTCCTGAGCGGTCGCGTAAGCTGTACTTCAATGTGGAAGATAATAGAGCGGCACATACCTTGCGGAGAACTTCGAACGCGCCGCGGTCATCGTCGTCCATATCGTCGATATCCTCCGACTCGTCCCATTTCATCTTTTGTAGGATGACGCCGAGAAGGGAGGCGAGGAAGGTGAGGCGTTCCGGTTCCAGTGGATCCGAGAGGGATTTGCGGGACTTCTTGTACTGGACACCATATGTGAGCACGCGAGGAGAGGTAGAGAAACGTAAAAAAGCGTACGAAGGAGAGCACGGATGAGAGGAGAGGGAAGATGGTGGAGCAGGTGTCGTCGTAGTCGTCCGCCATGAAACGGAGCATTACGGGCAGGAGCTGTTGGAGCATTTGGTAGGCTTCTGCACGGACGTTTTCTGGTGTAGTGTCCTGCGCGAAAGCAGTAAGTGATTCGAACCGACCGGGAACTAAAGAGTAGACGCACCGAGAGTAAGTTGACCAACTCTCCACCGAGCACATTGAGCAGTCGTCCCAGCGCTTCCCTGTACGACTCCTCGTCCTCATCCTCATCGCCCTTACGCGCAGCCTGTTCCGCGCGCGTCCGCTCTTCCAAAGCGGCCAGCACATCTCCCAACGACAAGACCTTCATAAGCTGCAACTTGTCCGTGGGCTCCTTCAATCCCTTTGACAGGATACGCATGAGAGCGTTGGAAGTGGCGATGCGGACGGGAATGGCGGGATCGGAGAGAAGGGTGAAGATGAGCGGGATGGTGCTCGGCGTGACGGTGAGATTGATATCGACCCATCCTATTTTCAGACGACCTATTAGCGGCCCAATCTAGATGGAGAGGTGACTTACGCACCGACGTACGACGCGAAAGTGCGCATGCCAGTCCCGGCGACTTCAACCGCCTCTCCGAGCTCCTTCTGACTCCCTCCTTCCTTTCGCAGCCTCTCCATGCGCCCAGCGGCATCCGCCACGATCGTGAGCACGGCCTCGTTAATTCGCGGCGCGTCGCGCTCGCGTACGGCGTCCCTGACGCGTCCATCGCGCTGATGACGCTCTTCTGTCCACGTACGAGCGACTTTGAGGATCGTATCGGCGACTTCGCCCGAGATCTCGAGGACGATGTGGAAGAATAACAAGGATACGTGGGTGTTGAACGCGACGGCGTTGGACGAGCTCGACGCTTCTGCTGGACGCATAAGCGCGAAGAGGTCGGCGAAGAAGGACGTCCATTGTTCTGAGTAGGTGGCGAGGAAGAATAGAGCGAGGGTGTGCGAGAATTTGTTGCGGAGGACTGGATTCAGCTGATTAGACTTTGCCTTGTGGCGCAGGGTTTGAAAGGGTAAAGACGTACAAGGTGCGGAGGCTTCTGCTGAGCCATAGGTGTATTCTGAGCTGATGTAGCCCAGTAGTGTTTGTTTCAGAGTCTGGAAGACATCGTCGGGGAAGGCGTCGTATCTGTAGAATATCATCAGTACAACCGAACATGTACGCGTTTAAACGGCCACCCCAATGCCACCAGACAAAACGACATCCGAGTCCCACAGATATACTCGCAGAGTATTATTTGCATATATATCCCCAGCCAATAGACCGCCACCGATCCCAATACCCCACATCAAACATGAACACGTACTTTCCGTCCAAAAATTCGTCCAACACCTTCAACGCGAAGAACCTGGCCTCCACCGGATGCCTCCTCGTCCCAACAGGCCCCTGCGCAACAAAAACGTTGAGCGCCAGCTGCCACGTCTCCTTGACGTTCGCCTGGATAGTCTGCAGATACTCGATGGCCTGCTTGTGCAACGCGCCCTGCGAAGGGTCCGCCGCGATCACGATCGCGCGGACGAATTGTTCCGTTTCTTGCTCCATACACGGCTATGTTTTGTATTAGCGCTCTGTCACAGCGCGCAGGTACTTTTGAGAGGTATGTGGGTGAGGGTGGCGGGGAAAGGAAAAGTGGCGAATGTTCGGAAAGGGCTGGGTTCGTGAGTCGAGACGATCGCACGCGACACGAATCGGCGAGATAATCACGACCACGCGTTTATCAGGGTCGGGGTTTCGGACCGCGATGGTCGCTTTGGTGGCTCCGACATTGTATGCTGCCCCGACGTGATAGTACGCGTACGACCGATTTGAATTCAGCAGGCACGTCGTATACGATAGAGCAAAGTGTGTCAATTGTAGTCTAATATCCAGACAACGCCATTATACAGCCCCAGACACACCCGCCCCGTAACCTCATCAAACGCCAGGCTTTGCGCCGCCCTCGGCGTAAACGGCAACGCAGGATTGACCGGTATAGCAGGTATCAGTACCCCAACCAAACTATTTTCCGGGTCCTCGATGGGGAAATGCGCACGCATCACACGCGTCTCTTCGAATTCCCAGTTGTGCTCGATCCATATCGCTCGGCGGCCTGTGGCGCCGATGCGGACGAGCTTGACGGTCGTTTCGGGGGGCATTGGGAAGGGTCGGTCTTGGCGGACGCTCTCGTTCAGGTATCCTGCACGACCATCTTCGGCTTCTGAGGGTGAAGCGGCTCGATCTTGGTTGAAGAACAGTCGGACGAGGTGACCGTGTCCGGGCATCGAGTCTTGGAGGTCAACAAAGAGCAGCGACAGAACGTCCGGCGCTGTCATCGAGTGGAAGATGAGCGTGTCGGAGTCTATGGGGTTCGGGCAGGACGAGATGGACATGGACGTGAGGAAGCCCAGATCGTCGACGGTCTCGCCGTCGTCTGTGGGCCGGTATTGAAACTGGTGTTGGTCCGCGTTTGGGGTGCCATCCGTGACTTGAGATGGTAGGGCAAGACCACGCAGAACGATCGTGTCCGCGGTCGCGCCGACCAGTATGATCCTACTAGGCGTCAACCTCAGATTGAGGCGGTTGACCGGCTGAAAGAGGCAACTTCGATAAGTCCCAGTGCTTCCCGGCGTGCATACATAGAAGGCGCGAACCTGGTCAAACGTGGGATGCAGAAGCTCCGTGGCCCACGTCTGCGTGTTGATTAGGAAGATCTGGTACGCGTTGCCCGGGAATTCCGCGTCAAAGTCGATGAACACCGCCGCAACGAGGTCGCCCTCGGCCGCCAGATCCTGGATTATACCCTTCGCCCCTCTGGGCCGCGTGAAAGCGCGGTGTTGCGCATCGGTGCGCGTACGCGAGAGACCGATGGTCTCGTGGCGCTGCAGGAGATGCAGTTCGTGGACTTGTAGGATGCTGCCACGTCTCGTGTGAGGTCATACTGCACATATAAATAGAGGCGATGCAGATGCTCATCGGTATGCCGATACTGACTCGTCGGTGAGTTTGTCCGCATCTGTATTGATGGCAAACGTGGCCACTTCACGTTCATCGTCCACCACCGCGGCGATCTTGCGATATCGCCCCGGTATTTCGAGCGAGGCGGCACAGTACGGCTTGAACGTGTTCGAGTCGCCCAAAGCCCAGAGACAGATCTGGGCCACGGGCGAGCCGTTGCGGCGCGTACGCTGTGCAGTAACCAGCCAGCGCGCACGATTGAGCAGAAACATTTCATCTATGGCTGCGGCCGAGGAGCAGTCCAGCGATCTGTAGCGCCGTATTCGAGGGTCGGGCCGCTTCCAGTTGTGTTCTAGTTGTAAGGCGCGCAGTACGAGGTGTTGGAGTTCTGATCCTGATAAAGATGTGGTCGGGACCGCGGGTGACACGTCGAGAGGGACACGCAGTCGTCTGGAGATATGGTGCCAGAGGTAGTCACTGGAGCCGCAGGCGTGTAGGACACGATTGACCTACGTGGATTGGTACTTAGCGCCATCGATACTTGCGCCCAACGTGCCGCGCGCACCTGTTTGAGTGCAAGGACATCGCGCAGGTCATCCAGGCAGAGAAAGATAAGCAGGTAGATATCGTAAGGCAGGCTATTCACAAGACCGGCCACAAGGGCCATTGGACGGTCGAAGTCGACGTGCAAGAAGCGCCGGTCGGGTATCTAGCGCGCTTAGCCGATAACGCCACGCGCGGATCGACCTATAAAGCCCCTAACCCACTTGGGCTGTCTCTTGGTCGTGAACCCCCACTTGCGCTGTGCACCATGGCCTCCCTGGACGTGGATTCGCCGTACAACCTGTCTGAAGTAGAGTCCATCGACTCTGACTGGCTCGATCTCTCCTCGCGTGCGTCGGAAGATAATGAGAGCTTGGGCGACCTCGAGAGCGACCGCGAGAACCCGAGCCGGCCCCTTTCGCGCCAGTCGTCCATCAGCGACTCGAGCATCGGCGAGCATGGCGGCTGGGAGGGTATTATTGAGACGACCGACGACGAGGCGCTGCTGGAGGGCGTCGACAGCCCGGTGATGTCCGACTCACCGCCGGTGGCACTCGACCACGACCACAATGACGCCGGCTTCGGCACCGTCCGCGTCCGCGCGCGCGACGTCGCGCTCCATCGGCACGTCGAGGACCTGCGCGAGCGCCAGGCGCTGGAGCAGAGCATGGTCAGCACCCTCAACGGCTCACGTGGCGGCTCGCTCGCCGCCAGCGCCACATCGAGCTCGCCTTTGTCCGGCTCGGCGCGCTCGAAGGACCTCCGCCTCTCCTTCCCCGATCCCCTGACGTCCCCGCGCGACGAGCTCAATCGGTCGTATGATAACGTCTTCCTCGACGACTCGTTGCCCGGCTCGCCACCCCAGGAGCCCGAGCGCGTGGTTGAGGCGCCCAGCGCTCCTACGCCCGTGACGGCCGAAGCCCCGGTTCGGGCGACCAACCACCGGGACTTCGCGCTTGACGACATGCAGATCGTCTTGTACGGCGATTCGCGGGTAGACAAGCACATCGTCACTGGCATGATCGTCGGCAAGCTCGCTGAGGGCTTGAAGCTTGGTATCTCTGGCCCAGATGTCGTCGACGGCGTCACCCGTTACACGCTGCTGAAACGCGGCAAGGCGGCGTCTGCAACTGTGCATGTCATCGATAATACGAACGTTTTTGATCCTGTACGTCTCCACTCCATCTCGAAGTCCGAATATAGAAACCCCAATACTCATGTATCTGTATAGTCACACAGCGACGCGCGGCCCTCCCTTGCCGTCGTTTTCCTTCCGGCTCTACTCAAGGCGCTTCCTCGGCATTCGCTCTACCTGCCCATCACCCAAGCGCACCCAGCCGAGATCGATTCTATTGCTACGGACAGCTTGCGCGCGGACGCCGAACGCCAGTGGAACGCGCTCCAGATTCCCAGCACACAGCTTCTTCTCTGGCACGTCGACACGCCGTCCCCGACCTTAAGCGCCGCGGAAGTCTCCGCGCTCGACTCAACAGAAGTCGTACTCGGGTTCGAGCCCCTCCTTCCGCGCCGCCAACGCGCCCTCCAGGTGTTCCGTGACCAGGTTGCTTCCGCGCCTGCGGTGACCTTGTGAGCTCTCCGTTCTTTCGTGCTTGGACTCAGCTGACCCCTTCTTCCCCAGGATAACCCTTTTGTCGATTATCTTGGGGTACCTCGTCGGCTCATCCTTCTCGTTCAATGCGTCGACCGCTTCGAAGACGGTCATCTCGTCCGTCACGCCGTTCGTGGCGAACACTTCGTACCCGTCGGTCGTGCCGTCGCCGTCGCCGATCGTGTTCAACGGCTCCCGCTCTCTGGCGTCTGCCCCACTGTCGAGCCTATCAACTATGGCACCGCTCCGGAACAGCCTGGTTGCTGTACCTGTATCCCTCACGCCAACGTCAGCTTCAAGCAAATCGCTCAGCGCAAGCTCCGTCCCGCTCAACCCGACGACTACATGCGTCGCTGCGGGATCTTGCGCGGCATCGACATCCTCGCTTGCTGTCACCACCCAATCCACCACAGGCGGCGCGCTGGCCGCCGTCCCTTCCATCGTCAAGTCGCTCATGGCCGTACCTTCTGCGCCCGAACGCAACACCCTGTCCGAGCTCCTGAAGCCGCACGGCAAGGGCAAAGCCGCTGAAGGTCACGAGCTCATCGGCGCGCTCGAAGATCTGCAACGCGCGATCTCGGGTCAGGCGTCTTCCCTGCTTTCGTCTCTCTCCTCGTTGTCGTCTTTGCAATCTGGAGCTCAGACAATGCACGAACGTCTATCCGCGCGCAACAACCGCGCGCAAGATCGCGCGCGGCGGATGCGCAAGCGCGGACAGGATGTGTTGCGAGAAGCTCATGGGCGCGCGTGGGGACGCGTTGAGCTGGCGAGGCAGCGCGCGAGGGAGATTCATGAGAGGATCGGAGGGGAGGTCGAGGGGATCGTTGAGAGCGTGCAGAGGATGTTGGAGGAGAAGGCTGTTGCGAGGGAGGGCAGGCGGAAGGAGAGGGCGGAGAAGAGGCGGGGGAGGGATTGGGCCGATTGGGTCGCTGCTCATTGAGTGAGTGGGCGCTCGGTGCTTTGATCTGACCTGGTTTATGGTCTCTCTGTATATGTTCTCGGTTTCTGCGGCTATGGATTCTTTCTCTCTCGCATCGCATCGCATCGCATCGTAGGGTCTCGTATTGAACGTTGGTCACCGCTCATCATGTACTATAACTATATAACGCTCTGACTGGGTGATTGCGAATGCTCTCTGTACATATATACTCCCTCATGATCATGACCTTTGGCGTAGATGCCTTTTATACACTTGTGCTCGCGAGATTGCTTAAACTGGAGGCTTTGATGACAGGCAGGATGCCGATGCACGCGCCCATCGTTGCCTGCCAGTGGCGCGGACTGGGAAAGGCGCAGTCGGTAGATGTTCTGAGGCTTGTCTCCCGCCATCATGAATCCCACTCTCCTCATCATTATGAGCTTATCGTACAGCGTGTGCTCCCCTCAATAGATATCATCCAATACGCCTCTGTGGCCCGCATATCCTCTCGAACCTTCGCCCGAGCTCGAAGTACTCAACATGGCCACATGAAAAGGGCCGAGGGTCATGCAGCTTCTCGCCTCGTGCCTCCCTGACCGTCGCCGGCTCGGGCTTCCTCACCCTTGTTCTGCTCCATCACCTCTCATAAAGGCATGCGCAGAGCGATACTCGTCGCAGGCGTGTGCTCGAGGCTGGTCATCGCTGCGCGACAGTGCCGGCTGGTGCTTCCCGCTGATCTGGAGGCGTCTCCGTCTGTTCCGTCCGTTGGAGTGAACTCGTCCGCTACGGCCACCGCGACTGGGACCGCTACCGCGACGGCTTCTGCGAGCTCTGCGACTGCGACGCCGTTTACGGCTTTCAATTATGGCAAGACGCCGATTCGAGGCGTGAACTTGTGAGTCGTGACGCTTGATAAGATGTGGAGTGCGCGCTGAGCTCTGGCGTTGCAAGAGGCGGCTGGTTTGTGCTTGAGGTGCGTTATCACGCTTGTTGAGGTTCGATCTGGATCTGACTGTGCGTGCAGCCGTGGATAACGCCGAGTATATTCATATGGACCAATAACTCGAACGTGGTGGATGAGTACACCCTCGGCAAAGTTGTCGATAATGATGTTGCGCTTGATATGCTGCAGCAGCATTGGGAGACGTGGATAACGGAGGATGACTTCGAGGCTATTGCTGCGGCGGGACTCTCTCATGTTCGGTGCGTAATATACGCTTCTTCACGCGTCATCCAGCATGCTCAACAGATGTTTGTGCAGAATACCATTGGGATACTGGTCCATCCCGACCAACAACTCCGCCTCACCATACATCCCTGGCGCATGGCCCTACTTCCTCCAAGCCCTCAAATGGGCTCGCGCACACAACGTACACGCTATCGTCGATCTACACGGAGCGCCAGGCTCGCAGAACGGATACGACAACTCCGGACAACGTACAGGCAGTCCGCAATGGGCTACCAGCCAGTCGAATGTCGACGGCGCGCTCGATGCGATACGGGTGCTGGCGAGCGAGGCAGGATCGATGTTAGATGGGATCGAGCTGTTGAACGAGGCGGCGGGGTTCTTTGGGGGCGTTTGGCCGGGCGTTATCAAGCAGTACTTTTTGGATGGGTATAACGTTGTGAGGGAGGAGGCTGGAGACGACGTTCAGGTTGTGATTGGTGATGCGTTCGAGGGCGTGGATGTGGGTGATGTTGCTGGTGCAGTGCCACACGATACTGATGCGAATTGCAGAACTGGGAGAACTTTCTGAACGGCGATAACGCGACGAACGTGTTCATGGACTTCGTGCGTGTTGGTCCATTCGTTTGCTGTCACGTACACTGACTATCGTCCATAGCACGAATACCAGATCTTTAGCGACGCCGAACTCTCACGTACGCAAGACGAGCATATCCAGGTACGCATCTGATGTCTCCGCTCCGTTCATCCCTATTCACAGATGTCCCACTCAGTATGCATGTAACACGATCCTTCCGAACCTAGACGGCTACGCGAACGGCGGCAGCGGGTTACGAACCGTGAGCGGCGAATGGTCAACAGCCGTCACCGACTGCGCGAAGTGGCTGAACGGCCGTGGCGTTGGCTCGCGCTGGGACGGGACATACGGTGACGGAAACGCCGTGTTGGGCAACTGTACGGGCTATACGGGCGACATGAGCTCGTTCTCCGATAGCTACAAGACGTATCTCCGCAAGTGAGCCTCCTGTCTCGGCGTTTCTTGGAGTGGGCCTGACGCTTCGCTTGCAGATACTGGGAGGTGCAGGTCGAAGTCGGAGAGCGCGTTCAGGGGTGGATATACTGGACGTGGAAGGCTGAGAATGCGGATGATTGGAGTTATCAGAAGGGTCTTGAGGGGGGATGGATACCGCAGGATCCTACGGACAGACTGTACCCGGATATCTGTGACTGATAGAGCTATACGCATGTATTTGTGACATCATTATCGTTGCGCAAGCCGGTGATTAGCCAAAGTCGGTGCGGGTCGATCCTGAACACAGCGGGACGCGATGCCGACGCCGCGGAGCAGCCGCGCATGTTCCGCTCCGAGCCTCCGACAACCGGCGCCCACAACGATCTATATCGTACACCTCGCGCATCCTCTCCCGATGACCCTGCGACCCGCTCGATCATGATCGCGAATCTGCACAAACTGAATCTGCTTCTCACCACGATCGAGCAGCGATCGTTGAACAGCTCACGTACGACCATAACGTATGCCGAGATCGGCAAGGCTCAAGTCAACCCTGGCCTGCCTATCGCTGCCGACCCTGACATCGAGACATCTCCGCAATCTCACGTCGGCACCGTATCCGAATATGGCACAAACGTCCCCTCCGGCCTCACAAGCGCAAGCTCACATCATGGTGCTTTACTTCGCTGCTGCGTCTACGGCCACAGGTCGTGCAACTGAACGAGTCGAGTTGCCCACAACCCCTTTCCCACTCGCACGGCTCGGAGAGCTGCTTGCTCAACGGCACCCGAAGTCGGACCTCGCTGCTATTTTGGAACGTAGCCAGTGGAGTGTTGAGGCAGAAATGGTACCCGAAGAGAACGTGCACGAGTTCAATCTAAACGGAGGGGAAGAGGTGGCCATTATCTGCCCCGTCTCGGGCGGTTGAGGTGAGTATAACAACATGGTATTATCACACGGGTTGACTAGATGGGTCACAGGAGACGCCGTACACAAGATGTGACGGTGGGTATACATACGGAGGCGCCCCGCACAAACCGAAGCACTGTATGCCTTCGTCAGACAATATGTACTGCTGGAAACTGTGGTAGACGTAGCTCAGGAGACGGTGCTTACGAAGAACCCTTGTTGTTGAGCACGTCCTGGAGGAAAGCGTCGGCTTCGTGTTTCTGCTTCTTCGCCCGGATGATCTCGCGACGGGCTTCCATCTCGCGCTTCCGCTTCTCGAGAGCGCTGTTGCGAGGCACATCACTAGCTTGCATGCCTTCTTGACCGGGCTTGACGTCGACGGCGCCAGCCTCAGCACGGTTTCTGAGCGTCTCCGCGTGAGCCTCCTTGAGCGCGGCGAGGTTGCGCTGACGCTCCTCTTCGGTCGCGCCGAGTTTCATGTAGGCAGGGCCTAGGTCGCGCATCTCCTGTGCCGAATCGAAGAATTTGGCCAAAGGCTCATCCTTCAGGCTCTCCTTGATCTCTGCCAGGCGTTCGGCAGTTTGCTCGTACGTATTGAAGTGGTGAGCGGCGGCGGCCCCCTCTGTAGATGATTAGATTGTCTGTCGCGATAGCGAAGTAGATGGGCGTACCAACGTATTGGCCGCTGCACGATACAGTAGTTAAGTTACCAGCGAATGGAGTATGCGGGGGAGACGACGTACTCGTCACTATCACTGTCGTCGTGCGAGAGGAATGATGGCTTGGGAAGATATTCACTGGGCAATTCCGACCTTCGCACCATTCTTTCGCGGCCAAACTCATCGATCACCTTGTGAAGGAGGTCATCCTATATGTGAATCAGGATCACGGTCGGAGGGTGGGAGGGAAGATAAGATCAAACACCTCTTCGTCTTCGCCGTAGACCTCGCGTTTGGGAACGAACCGGCTCTCGTCGACGTCCTCATCGTCCTCCGAGAGGTAGTGGTGAGAAGCATCAGGCTATATAGCGATGAGCATCATCCGTGAGAGATACAGAATAACGATGAATGCACACCTCGAAGAGTAATTCGGCGGCCTGAGCGTCGCTGACACCGCTGTAGTCTCCACGCTTCATCTGATCATATAGTTGACTCTTCTGCTCCATGCGCGCCTTGATCTGCTCGTGCGATAGGCGAGCTAGATCATTTTCTCGTAGCTCTACATCACGCTGGGCGCGTTTGTTAACGCCCTTGTTCTGTTTGAGCCATTCACTCTTGCCCTTCGGGGATCATCAGACGCTAAGCCAATATATCGGCGAGATACAAGGCGTACAGTCTTCTTCGACTCGCGCTTGGCCTCTTTAGACTTCTTAATAGCATCTTTTGCTGCTGATGTCTGCGCAACGAGATCCAGGAAGGAAGTCTGAGAGGGAGCCATGGTCGCCACAACGTGATCGTGGTCAAGAGCAAGCACGAGTCAGCGACGCGCGACTCGACTCGGGCGCGTCATTCGAGCGCGCATGCGCACAACTTGAACTTTACCACCATGACGGGGCCACCTGCTGAATCTACCGACTCTAGACAGCCTGCGGAAACTCCGGGGAGGTATGTGGCATGTTCAAGTCTTAGATCTGCCTGTACTTACATTCTGCATTAGAACCGCACGTCTGGTCTTTCCTGGTGAACCTGGACATGTTGATCTGCACCCTCCGGAATCCGATCCTGAAGAGGAGGAAGACGAGGAGGAGTATGAGATTGTAGAGGGAGACCCGCTAGCGGACTTCCCCGACGATACGGAGGTATGCTTGGCTTTACAAAACGTGAACGCCCGTCGTCTGACTGTCGTAGGAACTGGATCTGATTCACTCGCGCATATCTTCCTTGGAACCTCTCCGCCTGGAACGCTTTGGACCATCTTTGCGTAGACTATGCTTGCGGCAGAACTTTATCTCTTTCTTGCACCCCGATACATTCCATCTTTTGAACAAGCTCGAGGAGCTTGACTTCTACGATAACAAGATCAAGACCATTGGGGCGGCGCTCACAGAGATGCCAGAGCTAGCGTGAGTGTCCTTGTCTTTGCCTCTGACACTCGTAGTTCTCGAGGTCTGTGTTCGATGCGTCGAGTGAGTCACAAACACACCCTCGACCAGTTCCTCGCCATCTGCAACCATGAACTTTCTTGGTCTGTTTCGTGTGTGCTGGTTTCATCAAGCTAATGAGCAATCCTCAGAACGCTCGATCTGTCATTCAACTTGCTCAAAGCCGTACCTGATAACTTAGACCGTTTGCCCTCATTGAAGACTGTCTACTTCGTCCAAAATCGCATCACAAAGATCTCAAATCTGGACGGTGTGGGCGCAACATTGAGGAGTCTGGAGCTCGGTGGTAACAGGATACGTGTGGGTACTCAAGCGATACGTGTTTCCCGGGCGCTACTGACACTGTGCGGCAGAAAATAGAAGGCCTAGACGCGCTTGTGAACTTGGAAGAGCTCTGGTTGGGCAAGAACAAGATCACGAAGCTCGAGAATCTGGGCTCACTCAAGCGCCTAAAGATTCTCGCGCTACAGTCAAATAGGCTCACGAAGCTTGAAGGCTTGGAAGAGCTAGAGAACTTGGAAGAGCTTTACCTCGATCATAACGGTATTGAGAGACTTGAAGGCGTCGAGCACAATGTATAGTGTTCTGAGCAGGCTCCTCTCAAAGCGTCACTGAAATATCCCCCCCAGACTAAGCTCACAACGCTTGACCTCGGTAATAACTTTGTGCCGAAGATAGAGAATGTAGCGCATCTATCCGAGCTCACAGAGCTTTGGGTGAGTTCCGTTCGTTCTTCCTCGATCGATAACAACTAATCGTCCGCAGATAAACAACAATAAGATAGACACACTCGCTGACCTGGAGCCAGAACTTGGCTCGCTCGAATCCCTCGAGACGATATATTTGGAGGGAAACCCTGTTCAAAAGACCGAAGGCGCAGCTTATCGACGCAAGGTTCAACTGGCCCTGCCTCGATTGACACAGATAGACGCCACGTAAGTTATTCTGCGCTCTCCGTTCGGCGATGTACTGATCATCACCGCTCAGTATGACCAGGCAAACAGTGGGATGACCTTGTCAGAATTCTCATCTGTACTATACCTATGTAGAATGCGTGATATTCTGATCTCTATAGATCACTGTTGCTCTCATAGTACAGTCCCGACGGACCGTCGACGGTATTGAATGGCCGCATCGGTACGAATTATATGGTGTTATTGTTAGACGCTTCATTGGCACCTCCCTTGCTCTTGATGCTGGAGCCCTATGTCGTGCAAGCTCGGTTACCGGGGACGATCGGTGATGGGGCAGCGAAGGCACAGGCGTATTGGCCAGTGGCTTCTTCATTGTACGTCGGTATCTCATCTGATGATCACTTCGCATGACCGATCTCAACTTCACATGCAGAGGAGGCAACGGATGACGCTTGACTAAAGACCGCCTCCACCGAGTCCGTCAGCTTCGGTCAAGCATCGGCGTGCAAGTTCGCACCGGGCGCGCCATACCGCGCCGTTGGCTCGAGTTCACCAGATAGTGTATCCGAATCGCTTGGAACGGAAGCACACTTACTGATGTGGAACTACCGCCGCAACAGCGTGCACTTCAGGTCAGGGAGAAACCGACATCTGAGACACAGACACAAGGAGGTGCGGTGTTCGGACTGGGGACTGACGGGAAACGCGTGGCAAATCCTCCGGCCATCAACTATGACCCCGAGGCGCGTATCATTCGCGATAATTCACAAAAATAATGTACGAGGAGGGTGTAGAGTAGCGGTATCAATCCACGACGAGATGCGGAGTAGCAACACTAAATATGGAGCAGGCGTATACGAGTTCTATCATAGACAATTGATGGTACAGGGGCATTGCTAGCTTGGACCGGATGATAGGAGATGTGTGCAGCGAGGAGCGTGGGGGATAGGATGCGACAATTCACGAGCATAAAGATGTGTGTCCAAAGGGCAAGCAATATAGAAAGGATAAATAACGCGAGGTGCGCCATAGAAATCCAAAAAGAAGTGTGACAGCATCACGAAGCATAGAAATACGGATCCGAAGAGGAGAGACAGGTACGACTGAACAAAGGTAAACCCTTGACCTAGCGCAGACCGACGTAACCACCACTCTGCTGACGCGGGTCAGAGAACATATTCATGAAGCTGCCGTTCTGGCCCTGGGCCATCTCCCCACTGGAACGGTGCGAGAGCTGATTGAATGGCGGCAGCTGTTGCGGCTGCTGCATCGCGTATGCACGGTTCTCGCCCGCATACCCAGTCATATATACCTGCTTTTGCGGAGTTGGCGCCGGCGGATATATAGGCTGAGCATGCATTGGCGGCGTGTTGTCCTGCTGCGACTGCTGGTACGCGGTAGTCGCGCCAGGAGGAGTAGGCGTGGGCGCCATTAGCGGAGTATGCTGAGCGCCGTGCATTTGCGTGTTGCCGTTCATGCCCGAGGACGTCGCATTCATGTCTTGCATGTACAACGGCGGCGATGGGGTTTTCAGAATGGGAGCTGACATGCCGGATGTGGTGGAAGAGAAGTCTGTTGGCGAACTTGTTGAAGAAAAGTCGTCGAAGACGTCGCGCTGTCCGGACACCGGGACGAACGGCGCAGGCGTAGGGCTGCTCTGAGGCCGCCCACCGGCCGCACCAGTACCTCCCGCGGCCGATACAGCGCCGAATGATGCGCTCTCCCCACTATTCTGGCGTACAGCCTTGGTCGTTGTAGCCGCCGTGCTCTTCCCGCGCTTGCGTATCCCCTGAGCACCCTCTTTCTTCGCACGGCTCCTGGCATAACGTAGACCGCAGGCGTTACACAGGTCCTTCTTGCCGCTGGGACCCTTCCGCCATTCGGGGCTGTGAGTGACCTTGCAACTCGAACATCGCGGCACTCCCGCGGGAGGTAGCCCTGCGTTGCGTACCGGCCCTACGCCACTAGCCGACGGGGTCGAAGACGCCGATGGCGATGTGCGCACGGGAGGGAGTGGCACCTCGGCGGGCATAGTATGCGCGGTGCTGAAGTACGGGGGCGAGTCCGAGCGATAGCTCATGCTCGGCGTGTCGTAAGAACTCGCGCTGGGGAGCCATTGCGGGTGGGATGACGCCGACTGGGGCTGAGATGAAGTCGTCTCGTACGATGCGCCGGCATACGACGGTTGCCAACCCGATAGCTCCTGAGCGGGAGGTTGTGGCGACCACTGGGTGGAGTGGGACTGAGGTGCGTAGGTTTGACTAGGGATGTGGGACGTCTGGCTGACGGCCTGAGGCGCTGTTGGCTGTGGTTGGTTGGGCATCTGAGTCGGCGTCGACGATGGCATGTATGCCGCGCTCGAGAGAGATGGCATCCCGAACGAATCAAGATAGTCCTGATGCGGTTGAGTCATGTACAGGCTGTGCATGGGCGAGATGGCGGCGGGTGCGGATGTACGGCGAGCCTGCTTGACGTGGTGGCACGCAAAGATGATCGAGCCTGAAGAGGATGGCGTGTAAGCTACTGAGGGCATGAGAGGATGGAGGAGATCGAGAAAGGTGAACGTACCGTGAGGGATAAATACTGAATCGACAAGGCGGTACGCGTCTGAACTGCTCATGGCCTGCTCGCGAGCCTTGAAGCGACGCGTGCAAGTAGTTTTGGCCGCCGAGCTTGCGGGTGCGTCCCTACTGAGGTTGACGCCTTCAGCAAGTCGTGCATATTCCGTCGCGGTAGGTGCGTGGGGTTGTTCCGGAGGCCAACTCAGCAGTAGCGTATGGGGTTGCTGCGCGGTCATGATTTGGAATACGCGCGATGTCTGCGAGGGCACCGGCAGGCTCGCACAAAGGCTCTGAAAGAGAGCCGGGGCAGCGTGGCCATCAAAGAGGCTAGTGCCACACCAGTTGCTCCAACTGCTGTGTTGGTGCGGGTCGCTATCTAAGGGAGACAGGTCGACAGCCGCGTGGATGAACACGAGTAAGAGATCGTCGGCAGCAACATTGGCTACGAGGTCCACGGCCATCCAGTCGACGTCGATAGCGATCTTATCAGCGTCAGCCCAGTAGTGAGCGGGACCTTGATGGCCGAGCATTCTGCGCACGCGGGAGAGACGGGAGAAGCGCATTCTGTTGAAAGAATGATGCATGGAAGGATTAACGTTGGCACAAGGAAGCCTGTCAGTGGAGATCGAGACGAACCTGGTCAGGGTTCCGTCAAGGTTGCCCGTTTGGAGAACATCGGAAAGGTCTCGCTGAGCGGCATATTGTTCGTCGGGGTGCACGAGGTCAATGATACTCCTGCCGACGAGCAATGACGCCTGGTCTTGAAGGTGGTACTGAAGAACGGGGTCGAGGTAAAGGAAGCGGAGCGAGGACGAGAGCAGCGTCCAATCTTTACGGAGGATGTAGGTGAGCGTATGTAAAAACGATCGAGATGGGAGAAGGCCACTTGCAACATCGAGTCTCCCCAACTCGCGGAAGCGCTGTTACGGTCGTCGCCTGATCGGGCCCAACATAGTATCCTTGCCTCGCCGGCGGTGGCGGCACGGGCGCGTAAATCGGGACCGGCGCGCCTTGCATAGTCCTAGGGATAGGGTGGCTCGCGCTGTAGGCGACAACGGGGAAGCTTATGGCGGTGAGAGGACAAAACGGAGAGACCGTCGAAGGAACTGTGGGCTTCGACAGGAGAAAGCGGTACCAATCTTTTGGCGCGAGCTAAGAGCCGGCTGACGTTGCGCAGGCACCAACATCAGCTTCAATCTCAGATATATAGTGTTTTCAATCTCAGTATAGTTCCGGGCGGCTCCTCCGGCAACCCGTCCATTATGAGAGAGCAACTGTCTATGGGTTCGCGTTACAAAGCCGAGGAGTGACCATTGTACATGAAATTTGGCGAGAGTACAGCTACGGGTGGTCACTAACGAGACCGTGTACAATATGGGGGAAGTCAAAGAGATGGAAGCAGATGGTTCGTGAGATGGCCGCTCTCATCATGCGGGTAACCCGACCGGCCCCCGGAGAATCTGGGCGAGGCGCCTTTGCCACATTTGGCCATGTCCACGAACAGAGCTTCCCGAACCGACGGCGCGCGCGACCGCGGAGGAAACAGCATCAACTACGCAGCGACATCTCATATATGATTGCAGTGTCTGATAGGAATGGTACACGGCTTTGGGGCTACACACAGGACCGCCGTCGACTGTTAGTCCGAAGTAATCGAACGCCGTATACGGCCTTCGAAAAGCCTCTACCACAATGGACACAATTGAACACCCGATCACCGAAGCCTCCGATCGAGTTATCGTCTCGAATCGGGACCTCATTTCATCATCGTTTATCGACGTTTATCTGCGATTGGTGCTGCTGTCACCCTGACGAGTCGCCCTGGCGTCGTGTCCGTTTGGCGTCTGCTGCCCCACCCCCACGTCCTCCGCGAACCCATAACCAGCCCGCACCCCAGCAATAACTGCTTCTCCCACGACCTCTCGTAGCTCTGCCTCAGGATCGCGTCCTTCCGCCTCTGCTCGAGCTACGATGTCCGACGCGCGCGCCAGCAAGTTTTCGGTCAATAAAGCCGATGCGGCTTCCTGTGCGTGCTGGGACGGCTGCGGTCCCACGGGGATCGTGGGTACCATGGCGTCATTGCTCACAGTATTGGTAGTGGCAGTGGTAGAGAGGGAGCGAAGATAGGATGCGACGTCAGGAAAGTCCTCGTCGAGGTGTTCGGCTGGCTACGAGAAGTCAATACAGTCCGTCTCCATGCAAGCCCGTATGCGCACCGAGATCCCCTCCGAGTTTTGTCTTTCGACGGTCGCTCCATGCTGCACAAGCCAGGTCGCTGTTTCGACATTCTCAACTGTATATAGCGGCGTATCGCCGTCCTCGTCGGTCACGTTTACATTCCCCCCTGAAATGCGCGGCGTTAGCAGAGTAGGTTCTGGAACACGGGATAGATGCGCCGAACGTACCGTGCGAGACGAGATATTCGAGAAGGTCCAGGTGTCCGTAGCTCGCAGCTGCATGCCTGGTAGGTGCGACCGATGTCTATTTGAGTTATGTAGTGCCATACCTGGTCGAGTGCTAAGCGTACATCGGCGTATAAGTATGTGGATCGGGTGCATTTGGAGACAACCCTGTAGAATAGAGTCAGAATAAATTCCGCATCTATATCCGTTGGTGCACACCTTCAACCTCTACCAGATGCTGGACGCGAGCGAGATCCCCGTCTCCGGCAGCAACCCAGATATTCTTGAGCACGGAAGTCATAGCGAGCAATGGTGGTGGTGGATGCAAGGCACGCTGCTGCTTTGCAAGGCGAAAGTTGCGAAGATTAGATGCGATAGGGGCACATATGGGTCCGTATTTGCTCGGATGTTGCGATCTTGGCCAGCTCGGTTCTACCGTCGTTCTTTCTTGCCTGCACAATATCTAGGTTCGTCACTCTTTCCTCTACTGTCCAAGATACGCTCTACCACCAGCCACTCAGCGCTGCGTCGCCTGTATACGTCTTCGCATACTTACTAGTGCGTTGGCATGCGACATGCTCTCTCACATTACTCTTCGTAGCACCGGTATTCGTAAGTACCCGTAGTGATCATACAACGAGTGACTGCAGCGGCGACCTCATTAGGTCTCGAGCGCCTGGCAGTCGGTTACCGCCAAGCTTGACAGCAGCAACCGCGTATCGTATGCTTCGACAACTACGCGCAAGGTCTGCATCAAAGCGCCGATTGGACCGCGTAGCGTTACATCTGAAGACAGCAGTTATGATGCGTTGATGCGCCCATCACAGAAGGTCTGACGCCGTAGCAAAGGTGGATCCCCGTAGCTCACCGTACGCGGTTTGAGAATCGAGCTTGAGCGGATCCTCCCATGGTCGTCAGAAGTCAGACCGCAGCGCCCTGAGCCCGCCGGCGGAGACGACGAAGAAGTCTTATTTTGACAGTTCTTACTGTGAGGGCCTCACACCATGCGCCGTGTGCACAAGCGGAGGCTCGACTGCGAAAATCCCAATAGACCCCAGGCGCATTCACTTGTTCATTTGATACTTACACGTACCCGCGCCCATGCGATACAAGAGGGAGAGCGCCATAACCACGGTCTCAGAGGCAGGCGTCAAGACAGCTGACAGAGTAGTAGACATCAACTTGATATGGGCCGGTTGTAGAATAGCATCATGACACAGCATGTGCAAAGCAGCCTTGTCAAATCGAACAGTATCATCACACGCGGAAATGACGGTGCAAAGTTACGGCGCATCCAGTACTGCAGAAATATAGCGAGGGCCAATTGTGGCGCCTGAAGAAATGTATTTCGAGAACCCGTTCACTGTGCCCATCATGCGTTAGCGCGTTGGCAGCAGCAACGTGACGGCAAGAGCGAAGCCGCGTTTGGCGCGTCTTGCCATCGCCACACATGTCGGCTTGGGACCGCATTCCGTTCGCAAGCGCTCTTTCTCTCTCCGATATCTCCGCAAGTAATAAACCCGATGAACGGCCTATAGTTGCACATACCGAGAAGGCGCGCGATGCTGGATTCGATTACCTCTGTGTCCCGTTGACCACCGATGCGTGGAGAGATCGTTGGCGCGCTATGTGCGTGCTCCCTGCAGCATCGCACGTTCCCGACAGCGCGGGAGAAGTGAACGAGAAGGATGGCGATGGTGATGCGCGCATGAGCGTCGGGCCCGAAGGCGCGAAGATGCGCGCTGCTGAGGCGCGCGCCGAGGCCTGGCGGGCGGCTCCGGCGTTCGAGGCCGGAGAAGTGACATTGGTCCATCTTGGTGGGTCATCTTACATAGACATAGTCTCACGTCAAACTGACACCTGATAGAGGAGGCGCAATACGTTGTCGGTCTTGTCAGCGACTGGCTTGAGCTTGATGCTACTGATTCTTGGGTCCGCCATGATGCCGAAATCGTGAGTGCATGTCCTTGAACCTGCACACCCATCTTTCTATATCTCACATTCCACTGGACCGCGGACTTCGCGCTGTGTACTTGTCATGTGCTTGCATAGCACGTACTGATTGATAGTTTTCGTGCAGGCGTTACTGCAAGAGTTATCCTACGCGTCATACCTAGACGTGCAAACCGCCATCCTTCCACCGCCACGAAACAGACAGCATGTCGCATCCTATGCACGAGCTCTGAACGCCGCACTGGCTCGCATACCATACATGCAGCTATCAATACGCCTGCCAATCTACGATCCTTCGATATTCCGAGACGAGAACACCTCGAGCGGTGAGCGACCAGGCGCCAAGGCGAGCGAAGCGGAGCTGAACATGTGTTGGGAGATGTGGGACACCGTGCGCACATTGTGCGATTACAGTCCTAGACTAACGCTCGGTGCGTCGCGTAGGGCTTAGATCGAACGTCTGCTGATTGAGAAGTATAGCCCTGGACTTAACGCCACCCCTTCCGTCTGTTCCAGGCGTTCTCTCGCGCTGGGCGGCGGAACCTATCAGACATGTATTTCTTCCGGCCACAACGTTCATTGCGAATGCCAAGGGATACCCTGTGCTTCCTCGAGCTCTCAAGACGTTCTTGCAGGATCTCATGAAGGTAGTTCGGCCATCTTGGTCGCTAGAAGATCGTCGAACTGAATCCGTTCATAGCACCGCCCGACTATCGTCCTCACTCGTACTGCAGAACGACTTCATGCCAAGGGAAACGAGGCGGCTTACATGCAGTATGTGCAACATCTGGAGAAGACGGCTCCAGGATTGGTGGCAGCTGCTACGGAGGGTACTGTCGAAAACTTTGCACGCGGTTATGCAGACTATCTCCAGGCGCCATTACAAGTGGGTTCCCCTCTCCACAAGTGGCATCCCTATCTCCTAAGAGCTCACCGAGATGAATAGCCGCTGATGGACAACCTGCAAAGTACGACCTACAACACGTTCGAACAAGATCCGGTCAAGTATGAACGGTACGAGGAGGCTATGTACCTCGCGTTAGCAGAATGGCCTCCTTCGGACAAGCCTTTGTATGCCCTGTTATGGCCTGTTCAGCCTCACATGAGCGTTAATATATCCGCTTATAGGGTGCTTATTGTCGCAGGCGCTGGCCGGGGTCCTCTTGTTGCTCGAGCGCTTACAGCTATAGGCCGTGCCAAACGTGAGGTCAAGGTATACGCCTTGGAGAAGAATCCAAACGCATTCGTGACGTACGCCTCTCCATTCCTCGGAGCGCGGACATGACTGACGATCCGCGCAGGCTGCAGAACCGCAAACGCACTGAGTGGCACGATCGCGTCTCACTTGTATTTGGCGACATGCGCCAAGCGCGCATACCTGAGGAGGCCGATATCGTCGTCAGTGAGCTCTTGGGCTCCTTCGGCGACAATGAGCTGAGCCCGGAATGTCTGGACGGCGCGATGCGATTCCTGAAAGGTATGCGTGTCGTTGCTATCTTGTGCGTACTGAAGCTTATTCTCGCGGCGTAGCCGGCGGCATCTCCATTCCGGCGTCGTATACAGCATACCTGTCGCCCATCTCCTCGTCCAAGTTATACAACGAGGTAAAAGCAGGGAAAGATCCGCAGAAGTCGGCGGAGACCCCGTACGTCGTGATGTTTCAGGTGCGGCGTCGTGTACATGTTCGCGTCGAGCCGAGGCTTATGTCGAGACGCGATAGGCCATCAACGTGCTAAGCGGTGAAGATGACGGTGCGGGACGGTGCGGTCCGACAGTACAAGAATGTTGGGAGTTTGAGCATCCGCGCCGGGACGCCGTGCTGGGCGAAGACGGTGCGCGTATTCGCGTGTACCAAGAGACTTCGTACTGATGTCGCTCTACGCAGGTCTCCCTCTTACAAACAGCCATAATGCACGGGCTGCATCGCTCACATTCCATATCCCTCACGCCGGCACGATGCATGGCCTCGCAGGATACTTCGAGTCCGTGTTATACGGCCCCGTCGGGCTCAGCATCCACCCGGAACGTCAGAACGTCATCAGCCCGAATATGCTTTCGTGGTTCCCCATCTTCTTTCCTCTCAGTGCACCATTATACCTCCCGAGTGGATCGGAACTGCGTGTCAACATGTGGCGCTTGACCGAGCATCGCAAAGTGTGGTACGAATGGGCCGCCGAGGCATTCTTGCCCGTATTTCACCCCGCTGTGCCACCGCCTCTGCCTGCGAGTGTATCGAGTCGCGCGAGTGTCATCCCGCCGTCGCCAAGCTCTGCGTGGTTTAATGTCGATGGTGCGGGTAGTGTGCATGTCGCCAGTCCGATGAGTGCACCGAGCCCGTTAATAGATGCCATTGACAACCCGTTCCTTTCCGAGCGAGTCGCGACACCCAGGTCGGGTCATCGTCTGTCGCGGGGGTTGAGTGGCGACGATAGTGCTGGGACTGAGGCAGGGGTCGTAAAAGTCGGGCAGACGATTCTGCACAACCCAGGTGGAAGAAGTAGCTGGATCGGTTTGTAATGGCAGTAACATACCTAGTATGATGCAGTGTATATATTGTCAACTTGCTGTCATGTACTGGAGAATGTGAGTCGTTGTTTGCTGGTCTTAGTGGTGGTGCAATGGGCCTGGCAAGTGTCTAGATGTTACTATTCACTGAGGGAGGACACTTGTACAGAATGACCATGGCTGTGCTATACATCTCCCTCTTACTTATGACTATGCTTCAGAGCTTGTCGGCGAAATGTGAAGGTGGGGAGAAGCATGTCTTGCTGCATTTGCAGCCGATATGTACGTAGTTGGCTGGAAAGGTGCAGGATGTATCCATGCTAAGGCTACTGCTCAAAATGACCCCAGCATAGCATATATTTGGCATTATGAAGACACTAAAGCCACTTGCACCAGACTTGCCCTCCAATTCCGCATTCGGACAGGTTCAACCCTTGTTCAGTGACCAATCTGTGACAATTAATGTGACTCTCCCAACACGGACACGATTCGTCGCATCGCCTGCCTTTGGCTCTCACCATCACCGACTGACCCACACATGAGCTTTGGTGCCTCCGTACTAGCCCCTCCTTTGCATTTGTCCTCACTTCCTCCAAAGCTCCAATTGACTGAGGCTTCTGCTGCTGACTACGCTTGGTGCACGCTCATTGACCTCAGGTGCCGATGGGGCAGCTGCGAGGTGAAGCCAAACTGCTTGAGTGCTATGCAACAGGTGAGCCCCTTCACCTCATTACGTACAGCATTTTTCTGTAGCAGCACTAGCTCTTGAAGCGCAGAAATACTAGCATTAAGCTCAGCTAGTTGTGTGCAAGAAGAGGTTGTGGTTGAGTGGTGCACCACAGAGTGGATATGACCAACATCAGTTTATTCTCTGCTTGCAATCGCCACACTGAGGCCCTCATTTATACATATACTAACTAGTTGTGCAGCACTATCACAAGCACTCGGCCCGAGCTCATGAACATGAGCACCGAAGAGGTGCTGATGCTGTTAGTAGCCTCTTCAACTCACATGCTGGATCTATGTCACTCATCTCAGCTTCTAGGAATATGTCTGTCGTGTCAAGCAATGCAGCAACTTCTCCCATACAAGCATGGGAAAGCTTGGTGACCACATCGACAAGGCGCACATTGACTCTGTCCCGGTCCCTTGTCCGATGAAAGGTTAGAGTTTGACACACCCTCCTGATGAGCATAGAGCCTAATGTATTGACTGGGTACAGAATGTCTATACACCTTCACTACCAGTACCCTGCCGTCATTTCACCAGCACCTTGAATCCTCTCATTCTACAGATCTCCGCCAGAATATCTCCCCTTTGGACTCTTTCAAGCCTCTTGCCAACCCCTGGTCTCCTGCTCTTCCTCCCAACCCTCCTCTGCTGCCAAGCTCTGCACCAGCAGCAAAGAGTGCTTATCATCATCCTGTCATCCCTGCAAAGCGAAGGGGTGCGGCCCTCACTCGTACACTCAGTGCTATTTCGGCCACTGGCTCGAGCATGCAGAGCATCTCGGGGACTCCTCGCAAGCGCACACGGCTCTCGACACGAGCTTTCGACCCGCCCACTGCACCCGTCGCGGGACCATCATCTGCACGCGCTCCCACCCAACCCGACGAAGATGGCGATGACTGGGATGATATATCTGCCACGAAGCACTTCGGTGATCTCACATTCAGTGCACGTGCATGGAATGCCCCAAATTTGTTCGTCAAGCGCGCGAAGGGTCCGCGCTGGGATAAGCAGTGCGCGCTCGGTGGCGATGTCGTTGTTCAGCCTCGTCGCGCGTTTCCGCCGAAAAAAAAGGTGCAACTCAGCGAGCCCCCGTCGTACAAGGGTCCCCCGCAGATGGTGTACAAGATGCAGCCAGACCTTCTGACGACTTTCGTCGCAATGGAGGAACGGCACAAGCGGCTTGAGGAGAACGGGCTATTCACTGTCGAGCCCGAGACGACGTGGGTTACGCGCGACGGGACGGAAGTTTGAAGCAGTCACGCTGGTGCTCGCGCGCACTCGCCGTCGCACTCGTCGCCTTTGTTCATCTCGTCGCCTGCCACCACACTCCACCGTCTCTACAATGCAACTACAACGGACAACAAGGGTAGCGCGTTCGCCCTCGCGTCGCGTACACTTCCTCGTCTTTCGCGCGCACTCGCTTCAGACGATTGGCCACTCCTGCCGCGGACACAGACCCCCCCCCCCCC